GAGCTTAAATAAATGATTAGCGGTAATAAAAGCCGAGGGAGGTCAACAGGGATCACTGACTGTTTTAGGAGCTTTTTGAGATCAAATAGAAGAAAATACAAAACATTAAACATGTTAACAACACAAAAGCCATATTAAACGCAGACTACTTTAGACCCGGAAGTAGGATTCACTCACGTCATCACTTAACGACTGGATAGACGAAACAGAGCTACATAAAAACCTACATTCTTGCATTGTAACTCCTCTTAGTATATTTTAAACTTTTATCAGACTCTTCCAGGTCAGTGTATAGTTTGTGCTAACTTTTGGTTTTGTTAACTGTTATTTGCAAATCATGGTTTACCTATGGGTGGAATGGCATACTATGTGAATTATAATGACCTTTGACCTGAAGCAACGTCATTAGTTGTGTTTTGCAATGTGAAGTTTTTTATGAAATATATGAAACTTTTTCTCACAATTTTTCTTTTCATATTAGCCAGTACTCTGTTTAAAGTAGTTGGTATATTTAACGTATACTTTCACAGTATCATCAATATATGTGCCCAAATTTTGGACAGTAATTTTTTAGGATAATTGTAGATTATTGATCAGAAAATGTTCTCAAAAATGTTGATATGAGATAAAATGAAATAACTGTAAAAATTTGAAGGCCCTATATATATATGATAATCTAATGCAATGGAACTAAATGCCAATCATTTCAGTGAAATGATCCAAAAATACATCTGGAAAAATTCAAATCAGCAGCAGCGTCTCTTTGACAGAAACAATGGCCTGATTGCTTCTCTAACACAGACGCCTTTCAACCAGACCATTGTTTCTGGCAAAGAGACGCCGCTGCTCATTTGAAAAAGTCAAATGAGAAACTATTTACAGAAACAATTTAAATGAGAAACATTTGAATTAAAAAACAAACAAACACCAAAACGGAAACAATTCAAACAGCAGCGGTGTCTTTTCTTCAGAAAACATAGAAAACAAACATTGTTTCACTACAACAAATGGCTTTCAAACATTTTTGAGGTGCGCTGATGAAAATAAGTCTCTCAGGTCTTAAGGTTAGAAATCATCTTAATTTACAAAAAATGCCTTTCTGTCATTTGAAATAAATGCTTAAGAAACGAAACACCCGTAGGTAAAGGTATGATGCAAATAACAGTTACCACATTAATCTAAGATGTTATGTAAAATCATTCATGATCAAAGACAAACACTGATCAAATCCAAATTTAATATGTACAAGAAAGAAAAGCAGAATCATCAGTGACTCATAATGTGATGCTAAAAAACTTAAAAAAATAATCACAATAAATAATCCACAGAAGTGTATTTGTTAAGACTTCGTGTAATTTTAGCATCTTCTTCTTCTTCTACCAAAACCAATGAAAACCAGCCAATCAATGACAGCCTGTTATCTGCATCGCAGGACTCTGAAACGGGGAGGATTTCTGGTACTCAGGTTATAAGACTGCCCAGCTGACTGTCTGCATTAGGACCTTTGGAGCATCACAGTACGTATACAGCTTCATTTTACTTTGTAACTTTACATAACTTTCAAAAAAACTCCCACTGATATTCTGTGTATTAATTAAAATCATGTTAACATGTGAGTCTCATTTTCTGCAGGTTTGTGGAGACAAAATGAGACCTCTGATTGGCCTTTTCCTCATCGCCGTCTCCATGGCATTGGCTGGTAACTGTTTCTCTGTTCTTTTGTCCATCTCTGTGCAAGTTTGTAATTATGTCATTATTTACTTTTTATTGTTTATCTCATTTTCTATTTTTCTTTATATGGTTTTCTTGTCATTCAGGCTCTCAGTGGCTTTTAAACAGTGATGTCAATAATTTTCATTTTTAAGAACTCATTAAATTTGTGTGATGTCAGTTAAAACACAGAACTAACAGCAACAAACACATTTATGTACATAAACAGTGGACATAAAGAGGCGCCTCTGAGCTCTCGTGGGAAAGTTAAATACATGCAGTTTGTTGCAGCTGAGTGTTTTGAACCTTTCAAAGGTCACAGGCCAAACCAACTTTATTTATAAAGTGCTCTAAGAACAGCAAGTTCTGACCAAAGTGCTTAACATTACGAAGAGAATAAAAATACGAATTAGTTCATACAATTTAATTACAATTAATTCGTTTACAATTTCATCAACACAAAAGACAACTCTGTTTGCTTCTCAGGGAGTGTTCCCATTAAGACCCTGGTATTCTCCACTGCGACGAGCACCAGTTATGTTGAGATGATCCCTCAAAGGCCGATGAACCTGACTGCGTTCACTCTGTGCATGCGAGTGGCCACGGAGCTCAGCGGCCAGCGAGAGATCATCCTCTTTGCATACCGGACTGGAAGCTACGATGAGCTGAATGTGTGGCGTGAACTGGATGGAAGGTAGGACATCTCAAAGTCAACAGCATCTACACTGTGAGCTTTACAAAAACAATATCAACCAAATTTGATCTTATTGGTCCTGGTGTAAAATTGTTTTGATTCAAATGTAGTAAAATTATGATTTTTCATGAAGCTGCCTGTGTGCTAAGACTTTTATGACTAAAGGACGTATGGATGTTGTGTGTGCAGACTGTCCTTTTACATGGCTGGAGATGGTGTTTTATTTACAGTCCCTGAGCTCGGAGCCCTGCAGACCCACCTGTGTGTCACCTGGGATTCCACTTCAGGTTTAGCTGCCCTCTTCCTGGACGGAAAGAGGAGCTTATCCAAAATCTACAGGAAGGGTCACACTGTCAGCCCAGGAGGCAGGGTTATCCTGGGACAAGATCCGGATTCTTTCCTGGGTGATTTTGATTACGACCAGAGTTTTGTTGGTGAGATCTGTGATGTGAACATGTGGGACGTTGTTCTGGCAGATAGCGTGATACAAGGCATGTTTGCAGGGAAGAGAGTAGCAAGAGGAAATGTTTTTGACTGGGAAAGCACAGAGCTGAGAATTAACGGGGACGTCGAGGTCGCCATTCGTGAGCTGTAGTTATAATGTTCACCCACAGGAAAACCCCCATTCTGCTGTATGAAATAATGGCTATTAATCAAACTGTGTGTCAATATCACTAACGTTACTTTAAGTTTTTAGAAAACAAATATGTGCTGACATCACCTGTTTTTAATTATATATTAAATACTCAACACAGATTCATATTGTTCTAGATTATTCTTATCACTTACTTGTACTTACTTTTAATCACACTGTCATAGTCCCATTGTTGTATTATGAGAGTTTTTAGAGCTTTTCTGTCAGTTATTTCCATGCATTGAGTTCTTTTAGTTTCCTTCCCCAGTCTCAGTCTAACGTTGCTACATGTGGGTACGTGTCTAATCGCTGCATTCGTTATTTGTCTTCATTTTTACTACCCCTCCTGTCACCTGTGTCTACTTACCCTAATCACCCTTGTATGTGTGCCATCTTCCCCTCACACTTTTGTTTTAACGTCTGTGACGATATCTTGTATATTTTCTCTCCATGCACTTGTGGATTTGGTTTCGTAAAAACTTTTACGTTTTCCTTTGTAGACTTGTGCCATCAGCTTATTAAAGATTGTCCTATTAAACCCTGCTGCCTCCTGTGTCTGCATTTCAATCCTCAGCTTTACACTCCATACAGCTGAAATAATATGCAGCTTGTGACATCGGCATATTTTATCACCAGGGGCTTAAAAATTAACGAGACAACACAGTGTCACTGAGAACGCTGACTTCACGGTCTTCAGGCTCATAAGTATCTCTGTTCTGATATGGTGTTTTTCTATAGTACTGGAGAACTCAAAGCACTCAGTGGCACACAGATGGTATAAAGGTGGTACTGCAGAAGAGTTTAGCTAATGTTTTGTACTACAGAACTGAAAAGAAGTATTTAGACTGTTTAGTTAAGTAAATGCTGTAATTGTACTGTATTTGTAATCATATAAACAGTACATTTGACAATAACTGAAACCAGCAGCACTGGCCAACAATGGGTTGTGAGGTCATTTTTTTCATTAACATGCAAATTGTCATGACCATTGATCAACAAACACTGATTAAAGACCATTGATCATTGGTCATTCATTCCCCAGCTTTTTAGAAGCTGCAGTCAGCTGAGACTGAAGAAGTCACTTGGATGAGTGACGAAACGTTTCTCCCACTGGGAGACATGAAAAAGGAACCGTAGGCCTAACACTGAACACCGGAAAACTAAGTCTAAGCATACATCACATGGAGAACAGAGTTAGATCTTTACCAAGAACACAGAGGAGGCTCAGAAACCTAAAAACCAGGAACTATAAATGTAATACAAACAGAAAACCATAATTGACAGAACAAAACTTGAACAAAAACACAAACACTGCGTGACCCAGGACCGTGACATTTTTCATTATAAAGCAAAAACCCCTCGATGTAATTTTTATTTTAGTGACAGAGCGCAAATATTTCCTTGCAGTTTTAAGTAAAATTTATTTGATGTGATGAAACATTTTAAGACAAGTATATCAAGTTGAACTGTAGTAATGCTCTAGCAATATTATGGCATTATTAAACAATGTAAAGTTAGTATTACCTGTAGCTATTTCAGTGTTTATACTTATTAAATACACATGATGTATTTATATGTAATAATATTATAATTCAATAACATTTACTTTTTATGGGTGGGATATTGTGTTATTACATGATAATAGTACTTTTCAGCAATTTTAAACCTGATTAATTTTATTGCAGCAGTGTTTGAATATATAATTATGTAATTTTGTTTTCACACATACCTTCTATTTAACATGAAAAATCCACAGAAATACACCAAACTTTAACTTACCACCTTGTGAAAGTACATCAGTTTTCAGTACTATAATTATGGGAAATTACTGTATGTTTTGGCACTACAACAGCTGGA